GAGTAGAGATAGCCAGAGATGGCGAACGATTCCGACTGTCAATTAGCGCAGTCACCTCAGATGACTCTGGTCAGTACCAATTAGAAGCTGAACAAAAAGGAGTCAAATGCATTTCTGTAGCTTCACTAATTGTATCAGGTGAGTTCTCCATCAACACAGTAGAGTTCGAATTAGTACAACTATGGATTGAATACAGACTACAAAGAAGACAAATTTGAATCACTTCAGGAAATGCAAATGAGCCACCAGTTACGAAATTACCAGCATCCGTAAGTGTTGCGTCTGGGTCAGCAACAAAGCTTGTCCTAGAAATGTCGAACTCCGAAGGTTATACCGTGCAATGGTTCAAAGGAGGCGAAAAAGTAGAGAAGTCTGAGCGGATGAAATCCGTTAAATCTGGAAACTCTTTCAAACTAGACTTCAAAGTTCGTTTTCTATTTAAACTCTAGCTTCCATCGAAATTCAATTCCAACCTCATAATTTAGACAGTGGAAGCGAGCGACGAGGGTGTTTACGTAGTGAAAGTTATCAAGGACAAGAAAGCTGTTGCCAAGTACGCCGCTGCGGTGCATGTAGAACCATAAAAAAACACTTTATTTTGTATTCATCGCACTCGACGACTACTGCTTTTTGAGAATTACAACTTTCGCTTCTCTTAGTATTTCACGTTGCGTCACAACGGCCCGGGACACCGTAAGTGACACAACGACAATAATGGTGGTATAAAGCAATCGGGTTCGGGACAGCCCGTGAGCTTAATACCTCCATGCTAGGGTAAATAAACCTTGCTATTCATCATAATCTCTCGGCAAACGCTGCTGTTGCCCAAACCACTGACACATCCGGTGCTTGCTATTAATTTACGTTAGATGTTGTAATTTGTTTTAGTTGTATCTGTAGCTGATATTCTAAGTCTTTTACTCCGTGTTTTCTGTCAATAAAACGGGGATCACGTATTTCCACTACTGTATGCGGATGCACTTTGAAATCGTCGAGTGTGACGCCTTACCTTCCTCTCCTAGTACGAGATGAAATGAACATAAGAACGTCATTTGTCATATGTGTTTGTAAATGTTTATTATGAATAAATTTATAAATAACAGAAGAGATAATCGAGAACACAGAAAATTCTCATGGACAATGCAGCCCACAAAGGCTGAATAGGTGCACTGATTACAGTGAAAAGGACAGCCGGATCGGGCTGATTCAACTCAAGGACCAGATTAAAATGACTACAAAGCTATCAAAGTGCACAGGTCCTGTGAAATCACGTTGAGAATTACGCAACACCAGCATTTAAAAGCAACCTAATCGCAAAGACAACCATGGGGGAAATGGGAATTCTTAAAAAGTAACTGTGAAGAAACGCTCAACAATAAGGTTTCTAGCAGGGCGCCGACTACCAAAACGGCACATCTACTTTTCCGTCGTAGCTCTTTACTCTTAAAACATGCAGCGGGACACTTCCTGCATAAGAACAATGTCAAATGACGAGGACTAAGCTGTTGGAGATGACTAGTCATCTGGCACACACAAAAGAAAATAGTCGATATAATGAGTGTTATACAAATATATCTTTCACAAAAATTCCGTTTTTGAAGTGATTAAATCCATTCTCCAACATCTTGAACTCTTGCAATCAGACAAGTTCGGTCAAAACCATTGAGAATATGAAGGTGCACGGCAACTCGCAGAGTAAAAAAATGGCATAAAACATGTGATGTGGTAACTGATAAGAATAAAGAAAATCTACGCAATGTACATACGAACATGATTCCTTATTGTCACAAAATCATCACAATCAACGCTGGCTCTTTGAATGCTGGATTAGCCATTGTAGTGTAATATCTGAAAACAAATCCATGAATGATAACCTTTTGCTATATTAAGTGAATTAAAAAGCAGTCAACTCACCTATATTTTCCTTTTCTTTACAAGAGATCGAATAACAGCATATCTCACGATTTTGAATGGCCGATAGATTCCTAGAATTGAAGCTAGTTCAATAAGAATAAAAACATAGAAATGTGCATGCTTGAGGTGGGAAATCAACATACATGCGTTCGATAAGTTGTCGCTCGTCCAGTGCACCTGGCAGGTCCTTCTTGTTTCCTAGCACGAGAACAGGAATAGCATCCAACTGAGCTTTGTCCAAAAGTTGCATCAATTCGTTCCGAGATGCCTGAGAGGAAGACCATTACAACATATTTTCTACAATGCAATCTGTGAATAGAGAACAGAATAATATAGGATTAACGCATCCTCACTCCGAAGTTGGCGCACTATCTGATGTTATTGATTTCAAAACTAATCTATTTTTAAGAAGCCAGAAAATGAAGGCGTACACTGGTAGGACGCAAGCAGA